ATTCCAGATCCAATCCAGTTTAGTTCAGTCATATCAGTCCAGTTCCATTTTAAACCAGTTCCAGCTATACCGATTAAGTCCAAGTGTCATGTCAGTTCGAGTTGAGCATCTTAACATATTAACCAGTTATTTTAATCAGTCTGAGCATAGTACTTCGTAATTGTTTATATCATGTTATAGTTTGAGCAGTCTACAATCATCAGCACTTTCATTTTTATATCGACGGTTCAGGTGGGGACTCAGACTGGGTATTACATTGATTATAATTACTCTACCATGTTTAAGGTATGTATCATGCTATGCATCCGCTTAGAATGGTAGCCGGTCCAGGTGCGTAAACCCATTCTAGGCTCTAGTGGCTTTATATGCCCACTAGAGTGTGCACATGGTGTCCAACACGTTTGTGTTGGCAGATATTGTAGCTATGCCACAGCTATGCTATGCTATGCTATGCCATGCCATGCATGTTTTTACATTGTACCGGTACCACGTTTTTACATGCAATTGATCATGATATTGCAATTATATTTACTGTTTACATGAGTATGAGTTCCTACGGAGCACAGTGGATTTTAGTGCTCACGCCCCATGTTTATCTGTGTTTTTCAGGTCACAGAGTCGGACCAGAGGTGTGAGATAATGAGCGGTTCGGAATCATGTTTCTACAGTTTTGTATACATGTTTTGCCACGCTATGATTTCCGCTGACGCTACTGTCTTTTAAACTTATCTATTTTGATCTGATTTACTAGTCTGGTTGTTTATATTATATCAAGTTATCATGATAATCCGTTTTTCTTCGAAACTAAAATAAAGGTAATAGATTTCAAAGTAAAGTAAGCAATTAGGGTAGCACTCTGAATCACGATTTCACAAACTAATAAGTATTTTTCAAGTAACGTTTTGCGAAAATTTTACTCCGATATTTATGACATAGCGGGGTGTTACAACTAAGGCCTTCAGGCTGGGTGGTCGCTTGTTTGGAACATCCCTTGGGGTGGGCAGGTTGGTCTTATACTCGCACCTTCGGGTCGGGTTGCCTCTTGTTTGTAACATTCCTCGTGGGTGGGCAAGTGTGAAGACCAAACCCACCATGACTAAGGCCTTTGGGCTAGGTGGTCGCTTGTTTGGAACATCCTTTGGTGTGGGCAGGTTAGTCGTATACTCGCGCCTCTGGGCCAGGTGGCCTTTTGTTTGGAACATTACTCGTGGGTGGTCAAGTGTGACAGACCAAACCCACCATGACTAAGGCCTTCGGGCTGGATGGTCGCTTGTTTGGAACA